CTTTCCTGGACAAGATTAAAAATCGCAGTCATGTAAATCAACATTCACTTGTGCCATATGAATGAAATTCGGTGTCTTTTAGGACGTTTTAATGTTCCCCGTTTTCGAAAAAGAAAGAAATTTTTGAAAATGACGCCATTTTAACAGTCCAGTTCAGAAGGACTGGGGCCAAGTGCATAATTTCCACCCACCGAGGGAGGGTATGGAGATTAGTACCTATTGTTTTTCGAGTGAATTTTACTTTCTACCACCCGGAAAGGAAGAATAATGACTTTCAAATTCGTCGCAGCAAACCATTGCGGGGGGGCCTAAGCCAGGCCTTAGGATCGTGGACTTCCACAGGAAGCCCACGTAATTAGTAAAATTTTGTGGAATTTTCTTCMAAAATATTTGACAAACATAATATTTTAGGTTTATGAAAAAGCTTTGAGATTAATATCAACATTGTGTCAATGTGTCTAGTAAAGTAGATATCGAATATGATAGTAAAACAGCAAAAAGAATTACATTTTAGTTTGAGTCTGCCGAAGCAGAGTTTGAGTCACAGTATCTGGTCTCCCAATGGCGGTTTTGGTCYCCATTTCCGGGTTTATTCGTTCCCCTGAGGGATGAAGAACGCCATACGGTCAGGACTGACGTTTGTTGGCAAACAAACCGCGTAAAGCGCCCAAAAATCTGAAATATTCTTTAGAAAAAAACAAACTTACAAATGCATAAAAAGTTGTACCTAGCTCTTGCCACGTAAAAGAGTTTGTATTCATTGTTTAAAAGAAGTTTACAACTATTCGAAAGCGAGTCGAGTCAGAAAAGCTACAGTAATATAATTCGATACCGCTGACATAAGAGATCTCCTTGACGACGGTCACGTGGAATGGTTRCGGTTCCATCACTCATACACGATGACATTATAACGAGAGCCTTCCCAGAAGGCCTCTCGTCACAAAAAGTCGATAAATAAATCGATTAATAGTTGGGCTGCCTGTGTATGCGAAAGGAATGAAATACTTGTCATAGACTAGTAGGGGCTTGGGATCATGATTCAGACCACAAATAATACACAAATACAAAGCGTGCGCTCATTTAAAGCAAGCTAATTAAGCACGCTCTTTTGCTTGCCTCGTTCCAGTTTTCGATATTATTTGTATTGATTAGCTATCAATATATTGATGAATCAATAAAACACAATAACGGTACATAGAATAACTGCATATATTAAGTACGCAAGKGGGGTGCTTCCTGCGATTCACCATTGACCTTTTAATGAATGCAAGTCTGATGCATTTGATAAAGTTTTGAAATTATCACACAGGGAACCCGGTGGTGATTCCGTTGCCAGATGTATTCGTCTTGGACTTCCTAAGAACTGCAAGCTAACGACACCCAGTGAAGAGTACTGGAAGTGAGTACCTGCTGAAATAATGCAATTATTTAATTTTTTCCGATCTAAATCCTCATTGGTATTTGGAAAATCCATGCAACTAATCACATTGGAAATTCCAATCCAGAACTGAAAAAGTTAGTGATTAGAAGATGGAATCCATAGTTTACTGGTTAAATTCGCATTCATGRGATTTGTAAATGGATTTTGGGCGCATTTTTGTTGCGGATTACCGATCTTCACGTGCCCAGCAAGTCCTTTCAGTCCCTTACYTTCCAATCACCTCCACTCATGAATATAGTCGTCTCAGGGACACGGCCAGTGCACGATGTCAGTCATGACTACAACCAACAGAGTACTTTTTTCTCAATTTCTTTTGTACTTTTATAATTAATGGTTATTTATTCAAACAAAAGGGATGCAATTTTTTTATACAATTTTTTAATGAACAAGAAAATTCGCAGAGCATTCTGGTAGTTGTAGTGAAATGACTCAACGCGTGAATGGTCTATTCTTCGGATCAGAAGGAGGTTTCAAAATTGCGTTTTGGACTTTGAGATCCCGTCCACTTTGTATTGTAGGSCTTGAAAGCTTCAAACTTTTATCTAATTGAAAATAAGCTTGAAATTAAAGAGAAATATCTAATCTAAGGAATTTTATTCTGGCAATGACGTCTGGAATGGARGTGGTGGGCGAGGTTCGTCAGCCCCTGGCATTAAGTCTATTTCTTGCTTGGCTTATCGTGTTTCTATGTGTTGTGTATGGCATCAAATCTTCTGGCAAGGTAATTATAGCTCTTTGTCAAGGTTTTTATTAGTCGATCTTTCTAGGATAACTCGGCAAACTTCAATTCTATGAAGACAGGATGTAATAACGATTTATTCACTTAGGTTGCATATTTCTCCGCTACATTCCCGTATGTAATTCTTGTCATACTGATTGTTCGTGGTGCTACACTTCCTGGAGCATACAAAGGAGTTATCTTTTACTTAAAACCAGATTTTACTCGACTACTACATCCTCAGGCAAGTGATCTGAACACCAGGCAACTATATCTTCCTTGGCCTTTTTCGGTTTCACCATTGAAAATTTGAAAGACAACTGGGATTTACTGTCAACTCTCGCCTTACGGACAGCCCGCTACAACGGACTACCTCGATATTGTGGACAGTAAAATACTAAATCCCCGTCAAAGTAGCTCTCGTTACTACGGACTCTCGCTACTGCGGACACAAAATTACGGTCACGAGGGTCTCCGTAATAGCTAGAGTTCACTGTAAAATSAGTGAGCTGAAAGACGCCAACATTTTGATCGAGATTACTTGGGCCTTGCTTTTAAGTCAGTGATATGATGACGATGGCTATTTAATAAGAAAACTGGCACGTATACGACTGGACAATTGATAGGAATTATTAAAACTATTTTGAGCATAATGACATGTTAATATTTCTGCAGGCTTGGGTAGATGCAGCATCCCAAATATTCTTCTCGTTGAGCTGTGGACTAGGTGGACTAATTGTGTTCGGAAGTTACAACAAATTTAACAACAACTGCCAAAGGTATCTACTCATACAATTTCATCATTTCTAATAGAACCTCGGAGAATCCTTCAGTTGATGCGTCCTTTTAAGCGGCTTACGTGCACTTTAATCTTACGTGCTCTTTGATCTTGACATTTAATACGCGGAGAAGAATATATCAAATCCAATTTTATTTTTTAGAGATGCTATCACAGTGTCGGTCATCAACTGCTGGACAAGCTTCTTTGGAGGATTTGCGATATTCACAGTCCTGGGATTCGTATCAGAAACACTAGATAAAGACGTACAAGACGTGATTTCGTCTGGTGTGTCATCGCGCATTTATGGAAATTAGCCGCACGCACTTGATAGCTAAACTGACTTATTTCCACTCCTTTCACGCTACAGAGCACACAAGTTACACTTCAAAAACTTGAGGTTTCAATTGAATGATATTTACGATATGTTGTGATTCTCGCATCAGTAAAATTGAAGCTAAAAAGAAAACTTAAGGGATCGTTTTTCGTTTGGTGATCACACGTATCTGAAACCCGTCCAYATTAAATTCGGTCTATACCACGTTAGTGCATCCCAACTGTCCCCTGGAGGTAGCTTGGATTTTGAGCTGACTGACACATCATTGTTATCACAGTTCATAGTGAAACAATCTTGAAATCAATTCTCAGTCAAAGCTAATGAGCTATTGCTGTTCACAGGTCCAGGGCTTGCGTTCGTKGTGTACCCCGAGAGTATCGCTCAGATGCCAGTCTCGCCATTGTGGGCTGTACTGTTTTTTGTTATGCTGTTCTTACTGGGCATTGACAGCCAGGTAAGTGATCGTAGGAATATATATATGTATAGGAGCTTCTGTTACAGGTTTTCGCAACCAGACCTTCTCGGTTTTCCTGATGCAAAGTGATACAGTCAAAACCCGCGTTTCAGGCTGATCTGGTTCTTATATAAAGGGTTATAATCTGAAAAGTCAGCCTCTAAGTGTTCTTAAAAAGGTTTTTTAAAATAAGGAACATACTTGGCTACCAATAGATGAAATCAATATTTATCATGTGACCCGTATTTCGGCCCTACGCGCGCTCTTAAAAAACATTTGGGAAATACATCACGTGATGGGGGCCGTACGCCTTTTCGCGACAGGGACGTACAAACCGTCGTATTTTCCCGGCTTGAAGTTCCGCGCGCTTTTATTTTTTTTTTACATTAAAAAACGCTGTCACATTATAAAATGCTTATTGACTGATTTATAGGTTGGGCCGTACGGGAAAATATTTGGCTCTCGGTCATTTGTTATACGGACCTCGCTGCGCTTGTTCCGTACGGCATAACCTCGAGCCAAATATTTTCCCGTACGGCCCTCCCACGCAGTCAATAAGTACATAATATGCACACAATTTTAATCAATACAATGATGTACAATGATGTAACTATTTTAATTAAAAATAAATAAATCAATGTGTGCAATGAAAAGCAGTGTTGATCTTTAATATTTTTTCCATATAAAAACTTTCATTTTTCAGATTGAATGTGTTCTTATATAAATGGTAATTTATTTCTTAAAATCAGGCCTGGGTGTTCTTAATCCACTTGTTCTTAT